TTTGTTCACAGAGAAAGCTATGTCAACCCTTGTATGAGCCAAATATTGTAAACCTCCTATTGCACTCCTATATAGAGACGGATCAGTCATTTTCTTTCCTTCATCTTTGGATATGCATCTACCAACAGCCATCGGTGTTGCACAGGGCTTAAGATGTTCAAGACTAAATCTTTTTAACAGATCATTTATGTACTTGGTTTGAGTAAGATACATTCCCGAATTATCTCTTCTCACTTCAATACCCAGAAATTGATGCAGCTCACCCAAATCTTTTAGCGCAAACTGCTTGTTCAGATTGTCAATAAAACTTTGCAACATCTTGTGATCATTTCCAGTTATCACTATGTCATCAACATATACTAGAACAAAAATTACCTGCCTTTGATTCATGTGAAAGAATAGGGAGCAGTCTGCCTTTGATTTTACGAATTTCCATTTCAGAAGTGTTTCCTTGAGCTTGTCATACCAGGCCCTGGGTGCTTGTTTCAACCCATAGAGAGCCTTTTCAAGTTTGCACACAGTTAGGACTAGCTTCATTAATAAACCCTTCAGGTTGGCACATGTATACCTCTTCATTCAGCATGCCATTCAAAAAGGCATTGTTGATATCTACCTGCCTGATGCTCCAACCTCTCGAGACTGCAAGTGTAAGGATGATTCGTAGAGTAGAAGCTTTGATCACAGGGCTAAAAGTTTCGTGAAAGTCAATTCCCGAAGTTTGAAGGAACCCCTTTGCAACTAGTCTTGCTTTGTGTTTTATCACTTTTCCCTCAATATCTCTTTTGATTCTGAATACCCATTTGTTTCTTATGACTTTATGATTTAGAGGTGGTGGCACCAGCTTCCAAGTTTTGTTCTTCATGAGGGCTCTATATTCATCTATCATTGTTTCTCTCCAGTCTTTACTCGCTAACGCTTGATTTACATCATCAGGTTCAAGATCATTTTTCAATGTTCTGCAGTGAGTTGAGTAAACCTTTGGCTTGAAAATACCTGCCTTACTTCTGGTAACCATAGGGTGTTGTCTGACTAACGCTGCTGCATTTTGTTCTTCATTAACATCTGCAGTTGTGTCTAGGATTTCAGCTTGAACATGCCCTTCTCTTATCATATCACTTTCATCAGATTCTTGTATTTCATTTTCATTTGCTCTTTAAGTTTCATTCTCAGACATTTCAGGTTGATGAAGTTGAAGAGGCCTGTCTGTTGGGGAAGCATCGAGATGGACTATATCAGTTGAGTGTGTTGGATCAGTGGCTTGATAGGTATAAGGTAGATACTGAATAATGATGTCTTTAGTTTGCAGGTCACTCTTTTTATCAAGAAAACCAGACTTGAAGGGAAAATCATTTTCATTGAAGATCACATGTTTTGAAATGTAGATCTTTCCAGTAGGACTAAGGCATTTGTAGCCTTTATGGGAGTTAGTGAAACCAAGGAATACACATTTTATGGAATGGAAATTGAACTTATGATCTTGATAGGGCCTAAGGCAGGGGAAACAAGCACATCCAAAAGCTTTAAGGTACTTGTAGCCAGCCTGTTGATGATGTTTTATTGAGAACATGTGAAGGTAGTCGATCGATAAGATAAGTGGCCGTGTGAAAAGCTTCCCACCAGTAGTGTAAGGGTAAGCCAGAATGAACCAGAAGTGTGAGGCCAGTCTCTGTAATATGCTTGTGTTTTCTTTCAGCTTTGCCGTTTTGAGCTGAGGTATGAGGGCAGGAAACTTTCATTTCAATCCCAGACTGTAAGGCTAA